CTAGAAATTTACAAGACAATTTTACCTACGGAATTTTAATTTTTTGATATCTGAATAAATCTGTAGATAAATATGAGAAAAATTCTTGAGTAATATCAAATTTGCAGGAAGATTCACAAGTAGATAAAAAAAATAGTCTCATTTTAATTATTATTTTTAGGTTTAATTATAATTTTAATTTCTTTATTTCATTTTTTTTAAATTTTGATCCCACATTTTAAAAATTCAGAATTTTTTTTCTCTCTATTTTCAATTTTTTTTGAGTTTTGGTTCCTCTATTTTAAAATTCAGAATTTTGTTCCTTTTATTTTTATTTATTTTTAATTTTAATTCTCTATTTTAAATTTTATTTTGGATTTTAGTTCTCATTTTTCATTTGGAACTAATTTAATAGAGGATCAAAAATTTAAAAAAATAAAAATAAAGGAACCTAAATTATAACAAAATAAATATAGAGGGATACAAATTTTAGATTTTAAAATAAGGGATCAAAATTAAAAATGTTGAAATAGAGAAATAAAAATATCGAATTTTGAAATAGTAGAATCAAAACTAAAAAAAAATAAAAATAGGATGACCAAAATTACAATTAAGTTTTATTTCTATTTATTTAAAATATGATTATTTATGTAAAATTTTGCCAAATAATTACACAAATAAATAATAGAATATAAATAAATAATAGAATACAAATAGAAGTTTACTGACGTAGCTGATTACATACCATTTTTCGCTGACACTAATTTTGCTTGAATGACTAACCTACATTCACATTTCATTATAAAATTTCCAATAAAAGAAAAGCATTACTATAAATTAACACAGATGATAGTGATTTTCCTTGACCTTAAATGGAAATGTGATATCTTTTAACTTTCTATCAAAATCAAAATATATACGCTTGTAATTTTATATTGTCATTCCATCTTAGTAATCAAATCATTCAAAATATTTAATTTGTATTATTATAGTTTTAAAATCAGTGACAAAATTAAACATTTTTTGAAGTGGAAAATGAAAGAGGAAATAAAGCTAAAAAGTTTCAATTCTTTTAGTCTCATAACGAGTGACCCGATTAATTATTTCATACAGATTAAAAAAAAAAAAGAAGAGAAATAATAATATTTTTATTAAAGTATACTTAACATGTATTGAAAATGATAAAAGTAATTAGAGGATAAAATTAAAAAAAGATGCATTAAAAATTGAAATAAATTGTTCATTTTAAAACACTCTTTTATTTTAAATAGATTACTCAGTATGAGACGGAAGAAATAACATCAACTAATTGGAGAGTGATGATTCTAACAGAAGATTTTACAAAGACATGTCGTCATATTATTACCAACTCCATATTTTGTCAAATAGTGCATGCAAACATTTCCATGAGTATGAGTATAAAATATTTGAATTCATAATGAATAACAAAATTATTACTAAAAAAAATTAATACGGTTGAGATCCTTTACAATCTCATATAAGTTGTTTTAGGTGCACAAAATGTAGATATATGTATGTATACATTTTGCTATATGAACATTATCAATTACTTCAGAAAAACATTTATTGGACTCATATAAAGATGTATGGCTAGAATACACCACCAATTGAAAAGGACTTGTATGAATATTATTATTTATTATTTATTATTATAATTTAATCTTTTTTATGTGACCAGCTATTACTTATCAAAAACTAGAATAGAAATCTGTGAGCGTTCATTTTCAACATTTTATTTATTTTATCTATTTTTGTTCAGTTCCATTTCATTATTTAAAAGAACATTGCATGGTTCATTTCATGACCTTCGTTGAACATTAATAACCAAACATGGACCTGAATTTGGGTTCGGATCCCACGCGCCCCGCTTTTATCCAAAAATGATTTGAACTCCACGGAACACGACGGTCGGAGAACCCGAATCCCTCGCCGGAACTCCGTTAACTCTCTCAGATCCGCTTTCATGTCCATGCTCCCTGATAAGGTCCGTTCTAACCTTGACTCCGAGTCTCCTTTCGATGTTGATCTCTCCAAAGCCACCGCTTTGAGCCAAGGTCTCTCTCTCATTCTCTCTCTCACACACACACTTTCTCTCTCTAAATCTATATGTATATGTATATGTATAATGAAAGTTGAACGTGTAGGAGTGAAAGATTACTATGAAAAACAAATAGCTACTCTGAAATCATTTGAGGAAGTGGATGCGGTGGTGGAATCTGACGGCATTATTGAGGAAGATAAAGAGGAACTGGCTCAACAAGAAAGAGCAATGAAGGTTTCAAATTATGCAAATATAGTTTTGTTGATATTGAAGGTATATTCTATATTGATTTATCTATTTCATCAATTTCAAGTCTTCAAAAGTTACTTTTTTTTTTCACTTAGGACAAAAGCTACTTTTTGGATTAAATTTTATTTGATTCTTGATAGAGGACAAAAGCTATATTTTTTTTCTTTAACACATGTAATCCTGGCGGTAGAGAGATTAAGCTATGTGACTCGTGAGAATCAATTACTAGAACTCCTTGGCTTTTTGGATTGTCAGTTTGTTGTTTCTTTATTAATACTATCTCTGGTCCTAATAGAAACTTTTTAGATTCATTGAATAATCAATTCGTCTGAACTGCATATTATTCAATGAATAGTTAACTTTCCTTTATGAATAGGAGCAGAGGGATTATTTTTATACTTTGGTGCTGATATGTGTCCTTTTGTGATGTAATTGAGTAAAATAATGTTAGTTTGTTTTGTTAAACTAATATGTCAAACTTTTGATGACAAATGTTGTTTGGTTTTTTGTGTGTATGTTGAAAAGTATATGAATTCTAGAAGATAAAAAGTAGGTAAAGATATTAACACAAGTTATTGATGTGTAGATTTATGCGACGGTAAGGAGTGGGTCAATAGCTATTGCCGCATCAACTTTGGATTCTCTCCTTGATCTAATGTCTGGTGGAATACTTTGGTACACTTACATAGCAATGAAGAACATAAATATCTACCAGTATCCGATTGGAAAACTGAGGGTTCAGCCAGTTGGCATAATTGTTTTCGCCGCTATCATGGCCACACTTGGTGAGTCAAGCTCACTAGAACTATATTCGTAGCTTGTAAGAAGAGTTTCCCTCCTGCGATGAAGCTATAAATCAATTTTGTTACAGGATTTCAAGTGCTGGTTACGGCCGTAGAACAACTAATAAAAAACAGTCCTAGTGAAAAGATGACGGGGGAACAGTTAATATGGTTGTACTCTATCATGATATTTGCAACTGTGGTGAAGCTTATACTTTGGCTTTACTGCAGAAGCTCGGGTAACCAAATTGTTCGTACCTACGCAGATGTAAGTGTCTTCTCTCTTATGATGTTTGCTTTCTTGAATTAAGTCAAGTACAATTGAACGGTAAAAAACATGCCAACTTGCAGATCACCACTTTGATGTGGTAACAAATGTAGTTGGATTAGTTGCGGCTATTCTTGGTGATAAGTTTTATTGGTGGATTGATCCGGTTGGAGCTATTTTACTTGCAATTTACACTATTACCAATTGGTCTCGTACTGTCATGGAAAATGCAGGTAATTCTCATCAGAATTTTAAGCAAAAAATGAACTTAACATATCTCGTTACAAGACACTGATACTTCCATTGCAGTTTCACTCGTGGGACAATCTGCGTCTCCTGAATTTTGCAGAAGTTAACATATCTCGTTATAAGGCACCCTAGAATTGAACGCGTTGACACTGTCCGCGCATATACATTGGTGTTTTATATTTTGTGGAGGTATTATTGAATTACAAAGATTAAGTTTATAGCAGCATTAGATACACCACAAAACTCATCTCATTTACCCCAAAAATGCCTCATCATTTGTGTCTAATTTTGAGCAGGTAGACATTGAACTCCCAGAAGATTTACCCTTAAAAGAATCACATGCCATTGGAGAGACTCTACAGATAAAGCTTGAGAAACTTCCAGAAGTTGAGCGAGCATTTGTTCATCTGGACTTTGAGTGTGATCACAAACCAGAGCACTCAGTTCTCAGTAAGCTACCCAACAATCAGTCTTAAGCACATTTTTCCGGTCTTCACATAAGAAGAAATGCAAACTTTTGCAATTGAGTTTTCATCGATGATTTCTTTGTGAAGAGTGAAACTTCAAAATAGCAGGATCCGATCCGGTTGTTTGGTTATACGGTAGCTGATAATGCAACCAACTTTTGCCAAACTTTGAGTTACTTTAAATGCCAATACTTTCTGTAATTGTCTTATTGGCCAATTGCAAAGTTTTTTCAATGTTTCATTAGTTCTATATTAGTTCAATAGTTCATATTTGAAATCACACACATGTTGTATTAAAGGTTATTGTCGTGTTGTATCCTCAAAGTTATTCAATGAAGGTAAAAAGTAAATTTTCTCATAATAAAGAGTTGAGAGTATATAATAATTGAACATGGCTAATAATAATTCTTATGACAAGGAAAACAGATATGTTCCATTTATTTGGTAGTTGTCACTGTCACACAAAGCAAATATGGCTAATAATAATTGAACATGGTAAACCAAATACTAGCAGACAAGCAAATAACATAAATCATGTGAAAAACATGGTTTCAATTGCTTTGGCCCATTGCAAAGACGAGAGATATCGTGACAACCGAAAAATAAATAAAGTCGGATTGATTCGAACTTAGAGTAAGCTCAATAGTCCCTAAAATTCAACTTGTCTTTCTTGTTTGTCATATTTCACATAGGATATAGACCACCTTATATATTGAGAACAATTTACACACAAGAACAAAAAACATTTTATTTAATATTGTTCAAACAATAACAGGACATAATTAACAGTCACATACATCAAATTTTCATCTCTCATCCCATACATCTTGGAAAAACAGTTGAATACACAAAAATTAAATATATATACTATTGATTAATCACAGTGTATGTAATCACTGATCATTAGAAACATCCATATTGAGCAGGTTGAAATAATTTCATGTCTAAGAAGACATTGGCAAGAAAGCTCTTCCTGGCTGACGATTGGCCAATGGTCCATGGCACCCAAGAACCTGAAAAAGGATAAAGAAAACAAATTCAGCACATTCAATCCATCTACAAATATAGCCGAAATCTCTAACCTATCTTATTAGGCGAACAAATGAATCAAACATTTATTCTATAACATGAGATCTCTAAACAAAGTTATGTCCGTGTCAGTGTCTGATAAAGTACCTTTGCATTTACACCATCGGGCACAATTCTATTCTCAGATTTCAACTTCAAGTACTCATCTTGATCCAATTTAGTAAAACCCCTGAAATTGAAAACAATTATTAGTCATAAAATCAAAATCATAAACAAATGATTATGAATTCAGAAATCAAGTATCAACGATCAACAAAGCTTACCACTTTCTACTAACAATAATTTTCTGACGACCGGGGAACTTAAACTTAGCCCGACAAAGCGCCTCTTGAGCATGCTGCCCATTCCCACTCTTACACCTAACAGACAACAGCACCTGCCCAATACTCACCCTAGCACACGTCCACAACGGCTTCCCAAACGCGCCTCTCATCCCCGTCTGCAACCTATCCGCCCCAGCGCATGACAGCATCTTATTGATCCTCAACACATGAAAAGGATGAACCCTCACACGCAAATGAAACGCGTCTTTTCCAGCAAACTTAGACATGTACTTATTACAGGCAATTCTAGCTGCCTCTAATGCTTCACTCGAGACATTTTCTTTCTCCCATGATACTAGATGAACGCAGAAAGGAAAACTCGTCTACGCCTTTTTTCTTCATTCCCGCGTCGTAGATTCAGATCTTTGGATCGGGAACGCCGCGGCAGAATCGCGATTTCGGATACGGTTTGTTCTTTATCTGACGGTAACACCTCGCCGGTCCTAATTAAACATATCACAAAATGTTTCATATTATGATTAGAAGTTTAGAATCAATACATTTGAAAGTTTTGAATTAAATGCAAAAAGTTTAAGTGAAAAAAGTAAAATAATTGCTTACTTCTTCCCATTGTTGATGAATTTGTTGTGGTTAGAAACTTAAAGTTAGAATGAAAATGGAGGGAAAGAGAAGAGGGTGGTGTTTGTTTTATACCTTTGCATTAGCGTGTTTTTTTGTGTGCTTGCGTGTGGGCTTGCGTCATGTATTGAAAGTGGGCCCGGGCTTATACTTTTTGACTAGGCCCATTTTCCGGCCCAAAATGTTCGAGAAGGCGGTTTAACCTGTTGTAGAGGTAATAGGTAATAAGAAATGGATATAAAGGATATACGCAACTATTTTTTAATCAGTTTTCAAATTGAGTTTGGATTTGCTATTTTGGTGCATGACTTCAATTTTATAACTACGTTTCAAAATTAATAGCATGAGATGAGATGGGAAAAAGGGATAACCACTATTGATTGCCAGTGGAAATATCTACTCATAAAAGATTTTATTTGAATGTGGGAAGGAAAACATAAAATTGTATTCTAATATTTATTAAAAAAAGAATTGTTAGAGAGAAATATAATTTGAATATTGTCTTTAACAATTGTTTGGGTTGGTCTAATGATTCAATAATATCAATTTAATTCGAGGAAGATCAGGTATTCCACATGGTTAGCTAACATGATAGTAAGGTGAATGAATAATGTGTGTGGATTTCACATACATCAATCTAACATACCCTAAAGATTCATAGTTGATTGAAAGTTCATCAGGGTACATGATGCTTCGGTGCTTATTTGCCTTACAATTAGATTAAGATGAATCCTTGAATGTGCCCAAAAACCGATTTCATGATTAATCATTGTAATATCTATTATAAATTAATGTCTTTTGATCTAAAGATCGACGAAACCATCTATCAGAGATTGGTGGGTGTGTGTTTGCAAGGTATATAAGAAGAAATTTGGAGGTTCAGAAGAAATGGTAGTAAGGACGCAAAATATGAAAAATCATTACGAAGACTTGAAAGATATCCAACTCTCTTAATGACAACATGTTAAGCTATGCCATTAGTACCTATATTTTTTATTTTTTTAAAGAGTTTTTACTACTAACATGTTTTTTGTTATGTATGTTAAATAAATAATATGAAGATTTATGGAAAAGATCTAACTATTGAGAAATCATCCTTACCAGACAAATTTCATAGTGTTTTACTGTGAAAGTTACAATGAAGAAATAACGAGAGAGATTAAACATGAAAAACAAAGAAAAATAAGAGAAAACTACAAGAAACATGCAAATCGTGGGTTGTTGTGAATCAGATGTCTTTGAACAATGTATAAAAGGTTTCTTATGATCAAGAAACGCACAAGAGTTAGGGTTAACAAAGAAAATAAGGTAAAAACAACAAAGGAACAACAATGATTGGTTATTAAACTGCTATTCTTTCCTTACTCTTAGAACAAGATTACAAGTATACAAGAATAACAATTAATCTCTCTCTTTTGAAATTTAGATTTTATCTTCCTATTTTTCCTTATAT